AGACATAGGTCACCCGATCGAACCACGTAAATCTGCGATGGTGTAGCAAGCCACCAAACAATGCTAAGAAGGAGCCCACCGAGAAAGTGCTCACTCATTACCCGTGAAAAGAGAGTCTACGTTGGTCTCATGGTATGTAAACATTAGGAAAAGCGATCTCTATATAACCCAGCCATACCCTCCTCAACTGCGACCTCAACACATGACCTCGTTTGAGAGACTCCCCACTTTACTTAGTTTCCGTTTCTTAGAGAGTTCCCATGTCTCGCTTTCTGTTCCTCTCTCTCTTGTCTTCTCTCACTAGCTAGCTACCTCCATTGGAGACACTCCTGAGATTGTTCGCTTTCTTTTCTTGTTAAGAGTCGTTGTCGTCGTACTTGACTCGTGCCGGTATGGCCGTGCATGGTTAATCACATACCCACACTTTCTGGGTTCAGAGTCCCAGCGATCATGCCGAGCTTTCACGGGGTCGCACCTGAATTGACAATGCCAGCGTTCAAAGACAAGATTTATGTCGCGCCTTGGAAGGATGTGAAAGAGGGCAAAGCGAAGCTTGTTTGGAAAGTGCATCGATCAGGAGGCCACGTCAAGATCTGTATCATTCATGTTCTAGTTCCTTCACAGACGATCCCCATTGGTAAGTCAAACGTTTTTTCTTCTCTTTCTTTGCATATTACCAGCCATTGATTGTGGCTATCGTTTTCTTTGTTGTACGAGTTTTTTATTAATAGTGAAAATAAGAGCTTATCAAGCTCTCATGGATATAGTACACGGATCTTCCATGATGGACAATCATTATGCAAATTAGTCAAAATTCCCTTTTGAAGGTTTTGCGATGTTGCACCATATTGGATATCCTATTGCTTTTACCTGTTCTATTATTGTCGATTTTCATTCTTTTTGCGGTGTCCTTTCTTGCAACGGATTAACATTTTTGTGCTGTTAATTTGCCTTTGGTTTGCAGGAGGCCTGGGTGCCCAAATCCCCGCGAGCTCGGCGAACGAGATAATAATGAAAGAACACAAAGAAAAAGAGAGGATAAACACGCATAAACTCTTGGATACCTACGTGCGCGTTTGTGACAAAATGGGGGTAATTTACCTCCTCCTCCTCCTTTTTCTTCTAGATGATTAATTGTCCTGGTCAGTGCTTCTTGAAGTGCTAGTGAATCACACGAATACTAAACCTATTGTACGATAGCCAATTCACTTATAAACTTTTCAATTGTGCAAATTTAGTTCCAAACCTTTTAACAATTTGACAATTTACTCTTAAAACTTCCGATGATTTGCTAATTTAGTCCTAAACCTTTTAACGATTTGCCAATTTAATCGTTCCTGCTAATTTTGGCAGAAAATCGCTGAATTAAACAATTTTTAAAATTTTTCATTTTTTTCCTTTCCTTTTTTTTCTTTTTTCTTTTTTCCTTCGCCGACCATCATCTGGCCTCGTCGATGGCCGCTGGAGAGCCTTAGGCAAGGACCGCCCCACCTAGGCTACGAGGGTCACCCTCACGGGCCTAGGGTGAGGGCCCTCACCGGATCTGGCATGGCGCTAACCCTCGTCCTCGCTCGATTTGGCAAGGGGTGCCCTCGCCAGCCCAAGCGAGGGTGCCCTTGGCCTTCACCTGAGGCCGGCGACCTCCGCCAACCATCGACGAGGCTTGGCGATGGCCGACGGAGGGAAAAATAAAAATAAAAAGGAAAGGAAAGGAAAAAAAAAAGAAAAAATTCATAAAATTTTAAAAAAAATTGCAAAAATTGTCGACGTTAACATTGGTTGTGCAGTGTAAGACGACTGACGTTGACTAGACCGCCACGCTACCAAATGACTAAATTGGCAAATTGTTAAAAAGTTTATGACTAAATTGGCAAATCATTAAAAAAAATTTAGAACTAAATTGACACAATTGAAAGGTTTATGATTGAATTTGCTTTCGTACAATAGGTTTAGGACATTTTGGACAATTTTCCTTATATATACTTCTTCATTTAGACACGATGATAATAATGAAGTAAATTTATTGATTTATAGGTACAGGCAGAGAAAGAGTACATAGAGTCAAAAAGTGTTGAAACGGGCATTGTAGAGCTCATTCGTTTGCATGGGATAAAAAAGCTTGTAATGGGTGCAGCAGCAGACAAGCGCTATTTCAGGTACGTACAAGAACAAAAAGCCACGCCCATATGGTGGGGGACTTATCCATCCAACTCTATCCTCTTCATAACTAAACGGACAGGTTTTTTTCGATCCTAGAATACAACAATAAACCAGACACTTATATCTTTATCAATCCTTGAAAATGTGTTGTACATGTCCGATATTTGAGGAAACTTGTCGGTGCTTCTCAAACGCGATGTCTCAGTTCGCCCCAAGTCCACTACTCTATTTCACGTAACATGAATCATCTTATCTTCCTATTGAGTGAAAACATAAAATAAAAATCAGTTACTTATCGTCCCGGGAATCGAAAAGTCTCTTGTGTTGTGTGTGCAAGTTTATGTTTCGTATTATCTACATGTACACCAAATTAATTCACTATCTTCTTTGGTTTCAAGTTGCCAGTAAGTTGACAGAAATCAAGCCCAAGAAGGCCATCTTCGTTCACAATGAACCACACATCTCTTGTCAAATTCGGTTTATCTGCAATGGGCATCTCATTCACACAAGGTCATCCTCCAGCTTGTTTACTTTTAAATTTGTCTCCTTCGAAATTATCGAATGCGATATGAGGTGTTAGTGAAAACAAATTCAACATCAAATAATCAATGTGAAAAAAATGAGCTGATAGATCATGTTGAAATAGTTGAATGCCATAGGAGACTTAGAATATTAGGTTTGGAAGAGGCTGGGACATACTTTTATTCATGTTCTCCATTATATCTTCTTCCTTCGGATAATAGGGCTAAAATCAAATTTTCGATTGAAATTCAGTACAAATAGGAACGTTTATAGGCTTGGAGTCTTAGTACAGACGGCTAATTTATAGAGTGACGTGACAAATTTATATCTTCTTCATTATAGAGTGACGGCTAATTTATGGAGTCTTTGTACAGACGGCTAATTTATAGAGTGACGTGACATACTGTTATTCATGTTCTCCATTATATCTTCTTCCTTCGGATAATAGGGCTAAAATCAAATTTTCGATTGAAATTCAGTACAAATAGGAACGTTTATAGGCTTGGAGTCTTAGCGCAGACGGCTAATTTATAGAGTGACGTGACAAATTTGGCTCCACCATGAAGTGGCTTTGATTCCTTGTCAAAACAGGGAAGCTAGGACGGTTCAAGTTGTTGCAGAAGTTCCTACTGGTGCGTCATTGCCAACGACTCCGACCCATGGAACCGAAAGGTCGATTCTCTCGAAATCACGATCCACCATACTTCGGAGTGGTACGGCAAATTTGAGCAATCCAATACAAGACATTTTCAGAAGACCATTCTCTTCCAACGTGGACCGACGTGCCAATAACTTCTCCTTCCCCAGATAGCACTCCTTCAGTGCAGCCTAATGTGGTGAGCATGCTGGAGAGGCCAGACAATTTCCAGGAACCTGAACCGGTTTCAACAAGTCTTTCCCATCGGCCGCAGTTGATTCAGTCAGTCTATCATACCGGCGAGTCATCACTTTCCAACACTCTGGTATGTGCAAAATATGACAACGGATAGTCATTTTCATGTTCTCTAGCCAGGAGGCCATTTCTCTAGCTTTGGTTGTCTTGTTTCATAGCTAAGAAGAAAGTCCTTCAAAGGAATATTGCAAAGTTTAGCACTCCCCACGGCGAGGCCGCCCTGGCTTGGACAAGGGTCGGCCTCGCCAGATCTGGCGGGGGAGTCTCACTAGCGAGGCTGACCCTCGCCTGTGGCCGGTGGCCGATGACCGATCAAAGCAAAAACATTTAGTACTATATTGATCAAATTAAAAATTTTAAGACTAAATTGATATCAATGAAATAGGTTAAGGACTTTTTTTGTACTTTTCCCATCAATTGAGTGTAGTAATATGGGTAAATTTTCAGCAGAAGTATCCATTATGTGCTGAGAAATTGGAGGAAGAACTCGAGAAGGTGAAGGATCAGCTATACAAAGTGCTAGAAGAACCTCACACAGCCCAGGAACATCCACTCTTGCACGCCTCCCAGCATCGTCCATGGGGACGTCAAACCGGGGAACATCCTACTGGATGCACACCTAGGGAGCAAGGTCAACGATTTTGGTATCTGCCGACTGCTGTCCCGCGGCGAGCGGTCTAGCAACAACACCAGAGTCCTGTACACAGCCGACTTGAAAGGGACGCTCGGGTACATGGACCCCGAGATCCTCGTCATGCGAGAGCTCACAACACAGTTCGACGTTTATTCTTTCGGGATTATACTGCTGCAGTTGTTGACGAGGAGGCCCACCTTCGGAATAAAGTGCAATAAGTGCGGGGACTTTGTAGGCCATCTTGGATCCATTGGCTGGGAGAAAATATTCCGTGGTAGGATACTGCCACGTCACTTGCCTATATAGTATACATGTTCCATTAAAAGAGTGACATATGTCACTGACATGGATATTAAAAAAAGAGGAAAATTTGTCAGCGCCCCCCCTCTCTCTCCTCTTTAATTACGCGTGCTCTCACTCTTTCCTTTTTGCGTCTTCATCCCCTCTCTCTCTCTTACTTTATTTCAAATTTCACACCTCTCACCTCTCTCCTCTCTCAGTCTTGAAAAATCCTCCGACCACCTCCGACGAGCACCGCCGGACGCTCTCTCTCAGCTGCGACGGAGGCTTGGTGGAATGGAGTCGGGGTCGGAGGGCTCCCTCTGAAGAACAGGTCATCAGAGAGAGATCGAGCCGTGGTTCTACCCGGAAGACCCAGAAGATAGGCGAAGTTGAACTCCCTGTCGACGGCGTCGCCTTGCCATCCTCGTCGCCATCTCCGCATTCACTCTCCCTCCCCCATGGGTCTCCACGAAAAGCCAGGTCAGCTCGGGCGCAGATTCCAATTTTTAAATGTTCGTTGAAGCAGCGCTTCCCGCTTCGTACGCGACAACTTCGAGAGCGCCGCGGCAGCACCTCTTCGCCCTGCTCTGGAGCCGCGGCGCCCCGAGGAGCCTCCCCCAGATCCACGCCCAGGTCGTCGTCAATGGCTGCGCCGGCAGCAGCTTCGTCCTCGCCCAGCTGCTCTCCCGCTACGTCGGCTCCGGCCTCCTCGCGGACGCCTCGAGGGCCTTCGAGGGCGCTTGGAACCCGAGCACCCCCGCGTGGAACCAGATGATCCGGGGACACGGGCGGGGCCCCGCGCCGCGAGAGTCGGTGGAGTGCTGTGCTCGGATGGTGCGCAAGGGTGCAGAGCCCGACGGCTACACGTTTTCCCATCTCCTGAGCGCTTGCGTGCAGTTGGGCTTGTTCGGAGAAGGATTGCAGGTGCACGGGAGGGTTGTGAGGGGTGGGTACGTTTGCCATCCGTTTGTGAAGACTAATTTGGTGAATTTGTATGCGATGGGGGGAGGGGAGAGTGGGATGAAGGATGCGTGCAAGGTGTTCGATGATATGGGCGAGAGGAATCTCGTGTGTTGGAATTCATTGCTTGCTGGGTACGTTAGGCGCGGAGACATGGGTGGCGCGCGGAAACTGTTTGACGAGATGCGGGAGATGAATGTTGTCTCTTGGACGATAATGGTTGCTGGGTATGCTCAGAATGGAATGTGTAGACAAGCGCTGAGCGTGTTTGATGAGATGCAGAGACTTCGGGTGGAGTTGGACCAGGTGGCCCTGGTAGCTGCGCTGTCGGCTTGTTCGGAGTTGGGAAATTTGAAACTTGGCGGGTGGATCCATTCATATGTCGTAGAGAAAATATGTGCTAGAAATCAGCAATCGTCGGTCACTCTGAACAATGTCATTATACACATGTATGCTAGCTGCGGCTCGATAGATGAAGCCTACGTGGTGTTCAGGAAGATGCCACGGAGAAGCACAGTCTCTTGAACGACCGTAATCATCGGATTGAATGGCAACGAATAGAGTTTCTTCTACATAGAGTACACGGACAACGACCCATTTTTCCTCCGACAGATCCAATGAATTCGAGGAGCTGTCATGTCCTTGCTGAGATGGCAATAGGCCATGCCAAAGAATCGAACAAATAAATGACATCATACCCCAAATATCAAGGATTATATTGGGGATCCCCCTTTCTTTAGACCTTTTGCTCTCTCGTGTGTATGTTAATATTAAGACAGGATAGTGACTAACATCATAGGAAAATCTTCCCCAAATAACTTTAATTATTTATACTATGAATGTTACATCCATAGGAGAATGCAGGGTGAAGAGCAGCAGAAGTGCCAAAACTTGTGTACGGCGCTCACTTTAGTGCCAAAAATTTGTTTTGAATCATTTTAGTGTCAAAAATTTTGAAAAACGATCACTTAAGTGCTAACTCCGGTCAGTTTGGCCGGAAATCCGATGTGATATTTTTTTATTAATTTCTAAAGCTGATGTGGATTGCCGGAGGATTTAGTCAGCATGTACACATCAAAATGACGTAGTTTTAGCATGTACACTTGGATTTTTCAAATATTTTTTCTGATTTTTTTTTCCTTCTTTTCTTTTTTTCTTCTCTTTCTTCTTCTTCTACCTTTAGTCATCGTTGGTGACCGGAGGTCGACCACCATCGCCTCGCCTAGGCGAGGGCGAGCCTCGGCGAGGGCTCCCCTTGCCAAATCCGGCGAGGCCTCCCGTCGCCTAGGCCACAACGTTCTCGCTGGGCGTTGCCTAAGGGAAGGCGACGCTCGGTGAGGCCGTCGTGGCCTGGGCGATAGGCGGCCTCGCCAGCCTCGCCAGATCCAGCGAGGGCGAGCCCCGGCGAGGGCTCCCCTCGCCAGATTCGACGAGGCCACCGTGGCCTCACCGGGGCTCTACCTCGCCCAGGCGAGGCGAGGCGAGGTCGACCCTCGCCAGGGCTCGCCCGCCCTTGCCCAGGAGAGGGTCGGCCAAGCCTCGCCCTTGACGGGCGACGACGGCCTCGTCTGGGCGATGCCAAGCGGCTGGTGGTGGCTGGTGGCCGGCCTCCGGTCACCGGCGGTGACTGGAGGTAGAAGAAGAAGAAAGAGAAGAAAAAAAGAAAAGAATGAAAAAAAATCAGAAAAAATATTTTAAAAATCTAAATGTACACATGAAAATGCCACGTAGACTTATTTTTTTAAAAGAAAATCCAACTAAGACTAAATTTTTAATTATAAAAGCCACGTATTAATTTGGCCGGAATTTCTCGCCGTTGGCACTTAAGTGATCGTTTTTCCTCCGATTTGACACTTAAGTAAGCCAGCGAAAATTTTTGGCATTAAAGTGAGTGCCGTACATAAGTTTTAGCACTTCTAGTGTTATTCTCCCGGAGAATGCATGAATTAATATCTTTATTTTTTCTCTTACGTGTTTCGGCATTTAGATTTGAATCTTTCCCTTCCCTTTACGTGTTATTTGGTTTGGTTAACCGATCCAAATTGAAAATCACCCGTCTTCAAGTGGAAATAATGTAATATTAAATGCCAAAATAACTTAATCTTTCCACTTGAATTTCTTCGTTCGTGTTCTTGACTTTAGGAAAATATTACAGCTAGCTACTATTCTTCAATCCACTTCCATCTCCTCCATATTTAACCCTAGAGTTTCGTCGGTTTTACATGCAACCTATATATTGGAGCGGGCAAGTAGATTTGGTCTTGCATAGAAAGTACATGTTCTTGACTACGTCTATGTTCTTGACTTTAGGGAATACTACAACTACTATTCTTCAAGCCACTTCATCTCCTCCTTATTTAACCCTAGAGTGTCGTGGATTGTTAAATGCAACCTTTTTATTGGTGCGGGCAAGTAGATTTGGTCTTGCATGGAAAAACTAATTAATGTACATATCGCAAAATCTTAGTTTAAAAACGATGATACAATGAAATGCTCTTATCTTATATTAGTTAATACCTATAAACAGTCGATTCAAACGTAGGTGATGATAATATTAGAGTATCCACGTAGCCAATAAAGTACCCTCGCAAATACGTGCAAACAATTATTTACTTTCCTCTAAAATACACCTATATGAAGAGGTAAGATTCCATTTGGGCAACGCGATGAAGATATCATCCGTTGCTTTATTACTCCATTGATTAAATCAGGGGAAAATTATCAAAAAAGTTATAAATATATTGTAATTGTGTTAATTCAGTCATAAACATTCTTTTTTTTTTACCAATTGAGTTTTAAACATTTTGCTTGTGTCAATTTAATCCATCTAGCTAATTTTGGCCTAAAATCATTGACATGGACGTCGTCCGTCCTACATGGCGTTGTTGGTGCTGAAGTGGATAATTTTTAATAATATTTTATTATATTTTCGAATTCTTTATTTAATTAATTATTTTTCCTTTTATTTATTTTCTTTCTCTCTCTCTCTCTTTTTTTCTGTCCTTCTTCCTCTGGACAGTCATCGAACCTTGGTGACCAAAGGTGAGGGCTGACAAGGTTGACCTCGTTAGCCACTGGCGAGGCTTGCCATGGTCGGGTGGGAGAGGTCAACCTCGCTGGCCCTCACCTCTAGCTGATCGACTAGAGAAAGAAGGGAAGACAAAAAAAAAAAGAAAAGAGATAGAAAATAAATAAATAATTCAAAAAATTGTTAAAATATTATTGAAAAATGTCCACGTTAGAGCCAGTCACGCAACTTAGGAAGGCCAACATCTATATTAGCGATGCCGGATGAACTGAATTGGCACAAATACAAAAGATTTAGTACTCAATTGCCAAAAAAAAGATTTACTACTAAATTTGCACAATTATAATATGTTTATGACTGTTTTGATAATTCTCCCATTAAATCAGAAGTGATGACATACAGGCGTGTACGATGCATCTAGTAACCCTATGTTTGATGTGGCATGAACTTTTCTTGTCAAGTATATTATGATTCTCTCTCTCTTTGCAATGGCGTTTGACTTTTTGTCTCGAATATTCCCGCGAGATTATTCGTATATACCTCTCGGAATCCCCTTGCTTAGGGATGTCGTAGACTCACAATATATCTTAGCTTTAGTAATAATTGACTCATTATGTCTGCCAAGGCCGGCATGGGATATGGTACACGTGTATACACCTCTTAGGATGACGTTCGTGTCGATTTTTTTAATGACACAAAACCAGGAAATAGTCTATGCTTCTTGGGGGATTTATCTCTGATCTATTATTGCTGTTTCTTTTAGCCTAAACAAATAAAAAAAGAAGAAGAGATGAACCTTGCTTCGTAATTCCAACTACCAACGGTCGATTTAGTTGGACTTGGCTTCTTCTCTGAAGACCTGCGGACAATGTCCCCTTCATGCTCCTAATACCAAACTTGGTTTGTACTAAGCTCGATTAATCTGCCGACACATTGCAAAATGACAAATTAAGTCAAAGTCATGGTTCTTTGGTTCCAAGTAGAGAAGTTGTAATTTGCATTTAATGCGGTTGTGTTTTTATTAGGACAAAGACCAACCACAATAGAGAGAAAAATCCGACAATCTTTTAAGTCACCTGGAAACTCTAGGACAAAACCCGTCGAATTTCTTAGCTAGAAATCGAGGTTTCCACGAAGTTATCTATTAGATATTCTTTGCCATGGTACGTGGAATTAAATCTAGTTTCCAAAGTTAATTTCAACATGATAGCTAGTCAGTTGTGCTTAGCGATATTTACTAGATTCATGTGCTCATCTATGTCAGGCCACAATTACTCAATCAACTATTTCTAGATCTATCGACTGGCTTTCGTTTTTTTGGGTCCAACTAAAGAGTACGACCATAAATGAGGTTTCTTACATTGTTTTTTAAACTTGTCGATTATCAATATAGCCTTGTTGCTACCACCTGCCTGGGTGGCGCTGCTGGAGAGGGCGCTCTTCCTCTCGCAAAAGGTTGAGCGTTCGAATTCCGGGCGCCGCAGAGTGACTTAACCGGTGGCACGTGTGTGGTGGCTAGTACGTGTCGCCCCCAAGGTTTACTCCCCGGCTGTCGGCCGTGCGGGGGTTCCCTGGGTTACCAAAAAAAAAAAAATATAGCCTTGTTGCTCATGTTCCATTAGACGAACCATCCTCCATTTAACATGTTTAATCTGATCAAGGCTTTGCTTGATTTAACAAACGACCATGGTCGTCCTTCGGCGATGACCTTCCACCTTACCAAGAAACTAAACATTCCATCTAGTTAAATTAACGTACAACGAACGAATCTAAATCATGTGAATCCACTACGTGCAGCTCATTCTTAAGAGGGAAACTTTTCGGCCACCGAAGAGGAGGAGGCTACATTGAATTTTTTACCTCTTTGGTTGTTGATGTTGTCTTGAATTCCATGAAGTTTCGATCGATTAGAGACTTGGAAAAATCGATCGGGAAATCTAAGAAGGCTTAGAAATTGCACACTACGTGTTTCAAATATATTTCCTATCTATATGGGATTTCATGGTAAATAGTCCTAATTCAATGTAACTGGGATATGTCATGATATTCCTAATATTTAGGGGATAATCACTAAAGATTTATTAGTTAGTTTCCTAAACTGATAAGATCTTTAGGGTGAGACTTCTTGGGATTAGGAAAGTAGGGATATGAGGATCTATTTATTAAGCATTGTACCTTGTATCAAATATGCTCAGAAATAAGAAATCGTCTCTCTCTCTCCCGTGGACGTAGGCGAAATTTTTTTGCCAAACCACGTAAATCTCTGTGTTTGGATTATTCTTGTTTCATCTCATTTAGTTAGGGTGCTCTTCCGCACAACAATTGATATCAGAGCAATCCAGGTTCTCCGTTCTTGTACTGCGACTTATGACTAGATGGCTGGAAAAAGTTCGACCATTCGATTCGATATCGAAGGATTCACCGGGAAGAATCATTTCACACTATGGCGGAGAAGGATGAAGGATCTGTTTATTCAACAGGGTTTATCAAAGGTTCT